TATATATATACACACACACACACACACATATCACACCCAGATCACACCCACTATTTACACACTTACTGTTTTGACATGGTTGAACCTCTCGTTGACCAGGTGCTCTGTGTACTTCCTGTAGGCTGCCTCCTGTGGCATGGTCTGCAGTGATGCCAGGATCTTTGAGTACAGAATCCTAAGACGCTGAGAGAAGACCAAAGCATATGAACAAAGGCTACTACATGAGCTATAGTGTTTAACAGTGACAGCAGAAGTGTGTTGATCAGCCATGATAAAATTTATTTTGTGGTGTCAGTAACTTCATCATGTGATGGTGGTTTGTCATTAGTAAGTGTGCAGTGTGAATACAGAGAACACAGCACTGAACTGCACTGCTGCTCACTGTCAGCTCCTCACCTCATGTGGATTTTGGGACACTGCCAGGCCGACCAGGCCGGTGGTCTGGAAGAGAACAGCAGGAGAGAAACTCACATCTTATCACTTAAAACTTCACTTTGACCAACATTGTAGACAACCTGATTCAAAGACATGGCTCCAGGAAAATAAAATATTTTTATAAATCAAGTAATGGAAGAGGTTTCTTTTGTAAATATCCGAAGTTACTAGTCTGGGTGTGATCCTAGATTCAGATCTGAAGCCCCATTTCCCCCGAGCAGTACGGTACTGTTCACTTCCGTATGCTTTTTTTCCGTTGTGGATGGTACCATCAATCAATCAATCAATCAATTTTGTTTATAAAGCCCAATATCACAAATCACAGTTTGCCTCACAGGGCTTTACAGCATACGACATCCCTCTGTCCTTAGGACCCTCACAGCGGATAAGGAAAACCTCCCCAAAAAAAACCTTTAACGGGGAAAAAAACGAATGAAACCGTTCCGTACCATTACCATTTTTGGTACCCCTTCTGTTGGGGTACCAAGCACACAGATCAGGTTCTAAAAGGTGGAGCTGTGAACACAGCAGTCTGCTCAGGGCTGAGTTGTGGCTGGTTTTGAGGCAGAAGACACTGTTCATATCGTGGAGTTTTATTAGTAGACTGTAACTATAAAATGAAAGGATCTTTTGCTGCCTCTTGAAGCCGCCGGAGTCGAAAAAAAAAACTTAATTCACTGGGCCGACTAAGGTGGAACGTTAACTTGTAATGTTACTCAGTGCATGAGCTGACGATGTGAATCAGTCAACACACCTTAAATATTCCATGACAATGACTTGTTAGCTGGAAACGGATCTGCACATTTTTACAACAGTAAGTAGCTATTATAGATTTCCCAGATATCTTACAAGGAATTAGAAATTTATGGACACGCATCTAACGTGAACAAGCTAGCGTTACTTTATGCCCTAATTTTCAAAAGTGGTTTGATGATAATGGCCTTTACTCTTGGACACTCTAAAACTTTATTTAAATTAATTTGTTCATATAGAATTTAGCGTCCATTGGTAAACTTGGAGTTATGTGCAATAGCCTGCAGAAAAAGTGGCACTGTAAGTTAATAAGTTACCATTAACTAACATTACAGCTTCTACAAGTAATGTATAACGTAACGTTAAAAATATACTAATTCGCTTAAGTTATCGTGACATAGTTCTTAACGTAGTATTGATTTGTTTTTAATCAGGCAGCCTTTACCACAAACATAGCTAACAGCTAGCTGAGAAAGCAAAACAGCTATTAGGTCAGCTTAACATCAGCTAAACTGCGTCATTGTAAATCAACCACGTCAGTGCACCGTCAGACCATATCAATACAAACAACACTGTCTCGGTTTCTACTGTGTTTCTTCGCTGCGCTTCTTTGTATTACTAAAACTAAAACATGACCTCCACTCGTACCTTTTTCAGCAGACCAGCCATTCTTCTCTGCGGAAGGGACTTCCGCTAGAATATCCGGCCACTAATAAAGACGTCACCAATTCGCGAGTTTTTTTTTTTTTGTGCTTCTTATTTTGGAAAACCCGTCATATCCTGTTGTTGCATCACTCCGTCTGACTTGACGACGCTAACTGTTAGCTGCTAGCTGTTTTTTTTTAATTAACAGAAAAATATACAACAATATTGGCAAGTGCTCTCAAACAGACGGAGCACAAAATAAAACATTACGATCTTACATCAGACAAACATGTAAATAAATCAAATAAAAAAAGTAGAAATAAATACATTAATAAAGGGGCTTCTTCTAATAGTTTTTAGCTCATTAATGGTGTAAAGACGATTTTTTTTGCAGTTTTCTTTTTCATGTGGTTCAGTGTTTTACAGTAAGAAGTCAGTTATTTTATGAAAACCAAGAATAGGGGTTGTGTCTTAATACATTTGCATTTGTGAATGAAGAATTTTCCTAAAATAAATAAAGTGTTTAAAAGACAGTCTATTTTCTTACCCTCAGTTATCATTCAAAACATTATACCATTTCTTGAAAACTGTGGGAGAGGGGAACCAAATGAGGTAGTGTGTTTTTAGCCATCCTAATAAAAGAAATCGATAAACTTTTGATAACTTTATCATTATTGCTTACGGTTACATTGAATGTTGAATTTCAAACAGAAATTCTCAAAAGTTAAGATGTTGCCAGATTCAAAATAGGTGACAGACCAGACATTTTTCTCGATCCAGTCACTGAAAAATAAGGACCTATTTCTAAAAAGAATAAATCTGCAATTCCAGATGGGAACATCATGTGGTGAGAAATTGTGTTTGTACAGTAGTTTCCAATATAATAACACTTGTGAATGGAATGAGGATAATTTGATTGGATGTTTTTGAACAAGAAAGTCACAGCGTAAAAGAAAATCAATACCACCCATCTTTTGGAAAACTTCCCTGGGAACACAATACCAAAAGCTATTGTTATTTACTAGAAATGTTCTTAACCATTTGATCTTTGAAGTGCCATTTATACAGTCAAAGTCTATGGCCTGCAGACCACCATTTTCATAATCTTTAACTAAAGCTGCCTTTTTTAAATAATGATATTTTCATTTCCAGATGTAGTCAAAATTTAATCTGTTGATCTGTTTCTTTGATATAGAAAGAGAATAAGCTGGATAAATGCACCTTGAAAGACTTTCCATTTTGGTTATGTAGATATGACCAAAAAGAGAAAGATCTCTATTTAACCATCTGTCTAATCTTGGTTTGCACTTATCCACTGTGTTCCATATGTTCAAAGTCTCAAAAAAGAAAATCCCAAAAACATTTCTATCAGAAGAATGCAATTTTGGATGATGACACTGCTGTAAGTAGCTAGCAAGTACAGGTTAATAACCAGGCTACCTAACTAGCTAGTTTCAGCGGGTTACCCTAACCCTGAGCTGGTGAAGTGTGGTTGTAAAAGCACAAGTGGTTGTGGTACAAAGTGCTCATGAAAGAAGGCACAATGGAAATTCACAGGGCTTTGCAGTTGCAAATGTGATGGATAATTGGATTATACTGTACATGCAAAAAACGTTTTATAGTGTTTAAAAGGGAAGCTAATGAAGTTCAATTGAATTCAAATCATTCATGTCATCCATTCCAGCCGCTTTTGTTGAAAATCATGTGAATACATTCCCAGAATTAATATTTTTATTTGATCTTGGCATTAACAATCATCTAGTGATATTCCTAATAGCTTTAATGCATTCCTTGACCCAGAAAATGTATATTTTGTCACCAAAATTGACCTTCTAAGTAGCTTGGAAGCTGAGATATTGGCACATAGATTTTACATGCCTTCCACCATTGTGATGAAGCGGCTCTCCTTCTAAATTAAAAACTATGGTGATGGAAAACACAAAAAAAAAATTTGGTGCTTTTGTCCGGTGCGTCCCCATTCTTTTCACATATGTCTTTAAGCCGCCTGACTAAAAGGAGAGGAGCAAGCTGAGGCTTTTCTGTGGCGGAGCACTCCTTATGGAAGTGTATGAGGACTATAAGGACATAGGCTAATTAAGAAAAAAGGCAATACGGCAGCGATTAATAAAGCAAGGGAGGTGGCGTGGCGGAATATTGCCGACAGGCTAAATGCGTAAGTGACAAAGAAAATTCAGCATTTCAGCATAATATCATGTTATATAAATCCTGCATGAAAGGGACAAAATATAGATAAGAACACCTATTAAATCTAACAATTCAAGTAGGCCTCCTCAATCCTATACACCTTAGATGATGCATTTAATCAAACTATTTTCTGTGAATCATTGCATTTATCACACACGCTAATTGATTGTAGATTATGACATTTCCGAAATGATTAGTTTATAGGAAATAATCATATGACATTTATCTACTGACTGTAGACATTTAGCATATCTCTCAATTCAGTGGAGATGAGGGAACCTATTAAGTGAATGCAGGTGATAGTGAATCGATTATCTATTTCTCATCATTTTGGAGTCAATTGTAAGCTCTGATATAAGGAAAATCCCCTTAAATGAATGGAATGTGCTATAGGATGGTAAATGGACCTGCATTTGTTTTGTTTTTTATGACCAACTTTTTATTGTTTTTTGTTGTTTTACCCCATGGGAGGTGGGGAGACATAAGAACAGAAATGTCACCAATAATTTCTATACAGAGCATCTACATTACTTGTTTGCCACATATAGGAATTCATACCAGACAAGTATGAGTAAACTATATATACAAATTATATACCCGAAGGGGATGCTCAATAAATGAAAAAAAAAAAAAAAAAACAATTCTCCCAACTCCCATCCACCCTCTACCCAGGACTGCGACTGAACACCTCACCCTGTCCCACAGAATGCACTGTGATGTTCTCACTCACTAAAGCTAATTAAATATTAAATGAATCACAATAAGTTAAAAGAAAAAACAATCCTGCCTCTCTATCTTCAAAAGTATACAATTTCATATATAAAGCATACACAGTGTACATGTATCCAACTCATCATCACAAATAATTATATCAAAGTTATTTATAAAAGAGAACGTGCCTTTTCAACTGCCTTAGATAAGGCCTTTACAGTTTTCTTTGTTGTACCACTTGATCGTACAATTGATAATTCTAAAGAAAGTACATCCAAAAATAAAGAAAACCAATGGCATATATTAAAGACATTTGGAGTTTTCCATCTCATCACTAACATTTTCTTGGCTGCTGTTAACCCACAAAATAATATTCTTTTCTGATATTTGTTAAGAGTAATAGAAGAGTCGTCGTTTGCAGTATCATGTTTGGAAGAAAGGGTATATGTAGGTCAACTATGTCAGATATAATATCTACAACCTGCTGTCAAAGGGAGTTATCACCTGGACATTCCCACATCATATGAGTGTATGTACCAATCTCATTAAGAGGACATAAAGAACAAACAGAATGGCTAATCTTAGGTTTTAGGATGAGTACTATTAATCCTTGTCTTATAGTCTGTGGGGGTGATCATTTTTCTACAATCTCTTTTAATGTTTCAAATAAAAGTACTTTGATATGCTTGCAGAAATGTTTGTAAAAAATTAGCAGTAAGGCCGTCTGGGCCAGGAGAGTGATCAGGAGTCAAGCACTGCATTGCTTTTTCTAGATCAGCATATGAGATCTCTGCCTCACAGTCATTTTTGAAATTTTCATTTATTTGAGGAATGAAGTCTTTGATTTTGGCGAAAAAGGTCTCTGCTCTATCAGGTGAGAAATTAGAAGAGTATAATTTACCATAAAATGAATACATTTCATTAGCTATTATTTTAGGATCAGAGCATTCATTGTCACTGATGATTAAAGTTCCTATATTATTTTTTTCCTGCCAATTTTTTTCTAATCTACAAAAATAAGAAGAATTTCTCTCTCCTTCCTCAATCCATTTTGCTTTAGATCTAATACAGCCCCCCTTTGCTTTCCTTGTATAAATATCATCCAATCTGGTTTGTAGAGTGAGCAGTTTTCTTTTATCTTTATCAGTAATTGTTGGTTTATTACAGCAAAGATTTATTTCTCTAATCAGATTTTCCTCTTCTAGTTGGGTAGAATATTTCAACTGTTTACTAAAGCTAATGGAAAAATTCCTTACTTTAAATTTTAAAAATTCCCATTTGGAGATATAAGAAGAAAGACTGGCATCTTCAGAAGTTTCATTAATAATGTCTTTGACTCTGACAATATATCTCAGACTCCAACAAGGACGAAATGAGTTTCCAATAACCCTTACTTCTTTTGTAAATATCAGTAGGTTTCAGAGGGAGCATTAGATATAGAGCAATTAGCAACCATTTCATTTAAACAGTCAGAAATTAGCCAGAAATCAATTCTTGATCTACTCGAGCCATCTGGTTTAAACCAGGAAAATTCTTTTAAAGTAGAATGTTAAATGCGCCATGTGTCAAACAGATTGTGATTATTACAAAAAAAGTGGCAAGATGAGGATTATATTGATGGTTATGAAACATTGTGGGCGAGCGTTCCAGCCATTCATCATTCACCATATTCACTCCGATTTTGTTCTGGTTTACGTTATTGTATCCATAAATATTCCCCAAAATAATTACAGACTTCTCCATAGCCAAAACACATAGGATCCAATGACCATCTACACTCTTTTTGGAAGTAGGCCTACTTATTTTCCCAGAGAAGTTGTTGAAATTGCAGTACCTGCAGAGCGGTTTGTTCAATGACAAAATAAAATCTTATCACCCAATTGGTTGGTCCAGGACTTTTCATCAGTTTCATTAGAGCGGGTTTGTTGTAGCAAAACACAGTGCGGCTTCTTGCTTTTGCAAAAAAGAAAAACTGCTTTTCGTTTAATACTGTCTCTAAAGCCCCTTGCATTAAGTGAAATAAAACAAAAATCTGATTTGATAAACAACATTAAAGAACAACTTAGAGATGTCCCTAAAAGCCCTTCTTCATTTTGTCCTTATAAGCTTACATGAGAATGTAATCAGGGGACCACGATTCTTTTCCCGTTTATGTAGCCAGCCGGCCCTCTGAAGTAGCCTACACCCGCTGACCTGCTTCTCTGGCTTGCTTGATCTGTGGCCACGCTGCTGCTCTCGCCTCCCTGTCACCTGGTAGGATGTGCACCGCGAAGCTCACATTCAGCTGCTTGCATACTGCAGATCCCTTGGTCAGACGCCACAGCTCAAGTGCCTCATTGTGAATTGCATGACGACATTGCGCTGTCTGCCTTCCTCCCTTTTACCCAGCCGATGTAGCCTACCGAATCAACGATGCTGTCGATCTTGTCAGCCCACTGTGGAACTATTCTGAGTAGAATCTGCAACACTTTCTCTCTTGTGTTTCTCTATTTCAGCTTCTTGCTTATGGAAAGCCGAAAGTGCCATATATCGCCACTATTTCAACGCTACCTGTCCGAAGAACGCCGTTATTTACGGCGTTCTTCAAGATGATAATGAGCCCTGCCCTCTGTTGAACACAGCCAATAAGTTCAATGTTTCTGAAACCAATCAGCGGAGAGCACAGCGAGACCAAAACAATGGATCCACAAGACTTGGCTGCTGTGTTGCTCTTTTGTAGGCCTATTGCTAGAGGAAATTACTAAAATTCAAAGGATTGATTACTGATCTGCATGAAAGTATAATCACTGTGGCTGGACACGCTGTGCTCAGAATATATCGGTTTATAAAATAAATAAACAAAACCTTAATCATCGTATTGTAGGGCCTACATTTAACCGTGAGAGAACTACCTCTGTGAGAGACTTGGGCTTGCTAACTGCACAGTAAAAAATGGGGTGTCAATATTTCAGAGTAAACCTATTTGAACCTAGATAGAGTATTTTCAACTATATGGGGAGTAAACCCACTCTAAGAGTATAGTTAAAGTCAGTGTTAAATCCTGCAGACATGCGGTGTTACTTTAACTCGACAGAGTGATGATTACGCGCTAGTCGTGACGTCTTGAACGCTCCGGCGGCACACGGAGGAGGTTAGTCTGGAGCAGGCCTGGAGTCGTGCCATGGTCGGGTAAGTAACATTAACATTCTGGTGTTCATAACATTGTTTAATAATTGTTTTCCATGTAAACACGGTTTTATCGGTTCATAAATGTTGATTGAGGACATGTTGCCCATTCCTCTGTTGAATGGCTGTCGACTACATGTCCCATACAACTAACGTTAGCAACTTGCTAGCAGTTCAGAAGTTCGACATTTTGAGTTAAGCTGCACCGTTAACTGCGTGTTTCTCCCCTCAATGCTGGTACACACAATTACTTGCTGCCTGTCTTATAGTAACGTTTTATGTTGTTGTTTACTAGTATGCTAATCCTTAGTAAAGCTAACCGCGAATTAGCTTGAATTAGCCCCCCCTCCCCTTCCCCCTCCCCCTGTGTGGCCTCAATACTCGACGACTCAAACGGTCAGTAGGTCGGTTTGCCATTTTCTGAAGTGGCCGAAGTGGTACCTTAAAAAATACACAAAGACAGCTAAGTTGCACACGCCAGTTACTACTGTTGCTAGCTCTCACTGAGGAATAAAGTTGCAAAGTAACTTAATGCTTGTCCGGGGTTCCATTCACCTTGTCCAGGTTTATTTCTCTATAAAGACCTGCTCACTCTGTGAAATAATTTGAGACACAATATTGATCAAAGTACGACTTTTAAATGCTTTTGAAATTGCGTCATTTAGTATAAATCTGTACATAGTTTAAATCCAGTCTCTTTTCCTCTGTAACCCCTGTTGCCATGTGCTTTTTTTTTCAACGAAGCCGGTGAGAAATCAATCCATGGAGCGGTGGATAAGGTTATTTATCATATAGGCCTACCTTGTTACCATGTGTATATTTGTGTAGTCTTAACTGTCATAAACAAGAGATTATGGGTTACGGGGCGCGTTACGTTTGTGTGGCGGTGCCGCAGAGACGAGAGCTAGGACACCGGGTCGGAGGCTCTGATCTCACAAGGTTGGTTTTCAGCCAAGAGACGCTAGGTGGAAGGCAGAGAGCCTCCATTCTCCCTGTAACTAGTTACAAGTCATTGATTTAACTAACACTAGTACTCTGAAGCTGTGAGTTAAGGGACAAATAAACAAAAGGCAAATATCCTGCAGAGTTCCTATCAACCTCTTTTCCTCTGTGCTCCTCTAATCAGAGCGGCGTCCCTAGCAACGGTGTGGTACACTTAACAACGGTCTGAAAAAATATGTTGACCAATCAGAATGCAGCATTCACTCAATAGATATGTGTAATAAATATTTTGATTTGTTTATTACAAGTCATTTATGTCAACTTTGCCTTGTTGTTCACAGTAATCAAGCAGAAGTGAGTAAGAAGTGTGGACCGTAGTTGGTGAGTAGGCTCAGGTTATGGAACAATGTAAGCATGTTACTCATTGTTCAACTGTTTTTTTCTTGGTTGTCATTTTTACCTTTGTTTATTTTAACAGAATATGCTGCTGCGTGTGTCATTCGGTGGGGAGCAGAAGTATGTTAGGCTGTCTGACCTAACATTGGATGCCTTCATGAAAGAAGGTTAGTGAGTACATCATGATAACACAATATCACAACCTTTTACTTAGTTAATACACTTAATTCATCATAAACTATTCTTTCTGAACTACCTTAGTTGATAACTGTTTCTGCTGTGCCTTTAAATGCATGGGAATAATCTATTGACTTAAGTTTCAACTTGACAGCATTTTGTGAAGACATGAGGCTCACTCCACTTAGTTATGGTTTTGATTCTCATCAAAGGAAATTGTCTTGTTACAATTACTGTAACATCCCTTTCCCTTTCCTTCCTTTACTTCAGTGTGTCTCAAATTTAACATACCAGAAGGTAGGCAGCCAGATATGAAGGTATTTGACCAATCTGACACAGAAGTTGACGGAGAGGTCTTTGAAGAAATAGTGAAGGAGTCACCTGGAACGTTCCGAGTCGTGTTGAGCAATGAAGAACTTGGTAATAACTGACCATTCATAAATGTGTTCATATTGAACTTAAAGGTTGGGATGGGAGTAATAACAGTTTCATTTAATATGCTTCTGTTTTGTTCATATTCCTTAATGCACAGATGCTTCTCTGTCATCATCATCATCATGCTCAGCAGCATGTGAAGATACTATCATTCTGAACTTCACAATGTGTGACCCTCCTGAAGAAGCAGCCGTTGCCGAAGGAAGTCAACCTAAAAGGCCATGCCACATAAACTGTGAGGCAAAAGAGGTGGGTAGTGGACATTGTTGTTAAGTTTAATCTGGATTTCATCCCATTTGATGGGGAGTGTTTTTATGTTATAATTTCCCCATTGTACGTATGGTTTAAACATTTCTGACTGTATATTTTGTTTACATTTAAGTTGATTGAAAAAATCCTCACTACAAAGCCTGGCGGTGAACACATCATGCAAGAGTATGCAAAAACCAAATCCCTGAAAGATGCCACCAGAAGACAGATGATAAACATACTTGCTGCTGAGATGACACAAACACATGGGTAAGAACCATACATGTAGGCTCTAAAGAACATTGTTAGTATGGGATTGTTTTTAATTGTGTCCAATTGAGTGATTGTTGTCATTGAATTCATACATTAGGACATCCCCCCCTAAAAATGTCAGGGTGATGTACGCACAGGAGATAGTTGCTTTGTTTCCACATCTGGAAGACCCATATTCACAACATGGATATGTAAGCAAAAGGGTCCTTACAACACATTTAAATGCCCTTTGAAATGTTGGTAGCGTAGTCAGTCTGCATGTATTTAAATACACAGGAACATTACTACGATCCAGAGAGTGGTTCTGGATACCTTGCATGGCGGTTGAAGACCATTCAAAGAAAAACTGCAGAGGAAAGAGGTGCTTCTGCCAGTAAATCTCCCAAGAGTAAGTTTATTTATCAGTTACATAAAATGTTGATGAATTGTGTAGGCAGGAGTCAATAAATTTGTGTTTTGTCTCAAGGTGGTGGGCCAGGTCAACCCAGACCCTTCACTGCTGACAAAGTGTTATCTGATGAGGATGTGGAAGCAGCTATTGCTGTTTTGAAACACTCTGCTGATGAAGACACTGTCCGTGAGAAGATGAAAGCTACCTTCAATTATCGTCATTCAATGGTCAACGATGAAAAGAGAACAGCAGATGTCTTCTCAGTCTTCCCGCGGTTTCTCGATACACCAGGACTGGTAAGACATCTTCATTAGTTGAATCACTGAAATATCCCATACAGCATGGTTGCAGATTCCTGTTAACAGTTGTATCTGTGTCTGTGAACTGAGAAAATGTCTCACTATTGGTAGGACACTGCTACTTCAGTTGAGTTCTCACACACATTTTATTATCTATGCCATGATACAACATAAATCAGAGAAATATATCTTAATGTTAGTTTTGCCTGTACTACACAGTAACTAAATGTGTCGCCACCATGGCATTTTACATAACAGCATCACATCTATTTACTTGTGCCATATAAACAGAATGTTTACTTAACGATAACCTAAAGTCACCATAACACAAGTTTGAGACCAGACTGACCTGAGAAAATTGGGAAGAAGTCACCATTTGCAGGACACGGCTGCTTCAGTCAAATTCTCACACACGTACCGAAATCCAGGAAGAAGTGCCTGAAAATCTCTGCCTCTGGGACGATTCCTGGCCTTTTACTGCCCCCTATTGTTCAAAATGGGGAAGCCTCAAAAATACGTTCTCACAAAAACAGAAAATAATTCAAGTCCACAAACGTGGGCACGCATCAGTGGGCATCATACGTGCAGTGTCTCTCATCACTCCTTTCATTGCACTTTGTTTTTGTATTACAGATAGAACAAGATTTCAGGCTGCTATTTGGTGAGCTGACAGCAAACAAGTTTTTGGAAAAGTGGCCCACCAGTCTCAAAGCAAAAGTAATCACAGAAAGCCAAGGACTTGTACCGAGCACAGAGCTCCTAGATTTGATGAGGAATGCTGAGTCAACTGTTGTGGTTGAGAATGGTAAGACTGGGACTGTTTTTAATTACTATTGTTTGTAATTGTGCCAGTTTAACATACATGTAGCATAAATATTTCCTTTTTTATATACAGTATATCTTATATTCTTATTGCTTACACTGTCTTTTTATTTTATTATTTCTGGAAACAGGCACAATAACACACTTCACTACACATATAGTAATGTCGATGATATAATAAATAATAATCTATCTTATCTTAATGCTAACCTAATGTTTGTTGGTCTGTAGGCTGGGACAGTGACATGTCCACCATCTTGCTGCTCCTTCATCTCTTGCCACCATCTGCCCAGGGTAGGAAGAGGCCAGGGAAGATGTCGGCAAGTCAGGCTGTGGAACACCTCATCAAATTCATAAAAGTATGCTAGACAGTTGTTTAAAATATACTATTCTTCACCTCAGTTTCATGTACAGTGATCTATTGTGAGAGATTGGTCACTAAATATTGCTGTTTAATGTTGTAGGCTGGAACCAGCGTGCAGCAGCATCTCAATAACATCAGCCAAAGCAGCCAGCCTTACCTCCTCGCTCAGGGGCCCACGAGAAGCAGCATCCACACCTTCTTCATTGTCATCGACAAGTACGCACTACCATGTAAGGCAACAGGTTCAGTGGGAGCCCTTGACGAACTCTTTAAGGCCCATTACATCTTTGGTACCTCATATAGTCCTGCCCTTGCCAACTTTTTCACTTTTCTGCAAACAACTATCTACAACATTGACGTTGGGGAAACAAAGGAAACTCCCAGAGTTGCCGAATTGCGAGCAAGAATAATGCATTAGTGTCTGCTTAGATCAAACAATGAAGTGCTTTCTCTGCAGAAGTGACCATGGGAGTCCAAACAGCCTTATAAAACACCTTAAGGTAATTCATGGTCTCTGTACCATGAATATTGTAGGCATTATTTGACACAGAGCTAGAGGCAAACAACTTTTAGAAGTGCTGCAAAGGGGGAAAACTTAGGACGCTGACACACACAGTTAGCAAGCCCAAGTCTCTCACAGAGGTAGTTCTCTGGTTGGTTCACGGTTAAATGTAGGCCCTACAATACGATGATTAAGGTTTTGTTTATTTATTTTATAAACTGATATATTCTGAGCACAGCGTTTCCAGCCACAGTGATTATACTTTCATGCAGATCAGTAATTAATCCTTTGAATTTTAGTAATTTCCTCTAGCAATACAAAAGAGCAACACAGCAGCCAAGTCTTGTGGATCCATTGTTTTGGTCTCGCTGTGCTCTCCGCTGATTGGTTTCAGAAACATTGATCTTATTGGTTGTGTTAAACAGAGGGCAGGGCTCATTATCATCTGGACAGTTATTACGGCGTAAAAAGCGGCGTCTACTGTGGCTCTGTACAACGCCCGTGTAACAAAAACAAAACCCAAAAAAAAAAAAAAACGGCGCGTTTTACTGCACTTTGTCGCATTAAAAGCGGCGTTTTAAGGCTCCCGGCAAAAGCGGCGCTTTACACAAGTAAAACTCCGCTTTTTGCGTCGTTTAAATTAAAAAAACGGCCGTAAAAAGCGGTGTCTTAAGAGAGGTGGCGTTAAAATAGTGGCGATATATGGCACTTTAGGCTTTCCATAGTGTGAGGACAATGCAGTAACAGCAGAGACGCTGCCTCGCATACTTCTACTAGGCCTATATACTTTTAGTATGTACTGCAGCTGCCCTTAAAAAGTATGTAGTGTAGTATACAGTATGCATACAGTACTATTGGACACACTACATCCGCCATCACATCGCTCCCTGAACTCCGACCCTCTTGTTTACTTCCGTCGCCGTCCGTAGCGCCACATTTGAATATTTTGTTTTGTTGTACTTCGGAGATGCAGCAAATCTCCTCTCGTCGAGCCCGCCAGAGTCGTGCATACCGTCGGAGGTGCCGGAGAGCTCTGTTGCTGTTATGTCGTAATATACGTTGTTGTTTCTAATAAACTGATGTGTTCACGTAAACAGTTCCAAGCCTATTATTAGTGACCTGTCTATTGAACTAGTCACCAGTAGGCACATTAACCCCCTTCACACATAGCTCTCTGTTGCTGGCAGATGTTTGTTCTTAAACATATTTACAGCTATGCAGCTGCTGGCACTATGTTCTGTCTGCACGTGAAGCAGCCTTACATTCACATTACTTTTATTTGTAGTGTAACATACTTGTACATTCTTACTACATTACTTAATATGTATTTGACTTTTACTATTTATATATTTACTAGTCTATACTGCTCATACCTGGCCCATAGTGTATTCATATTTAGTCATATGCATTCATTATTTATACCACACTTACCCCACTGCCTATACTGGTAGAATCTTCTATATTGTAGTCATAGTTGAACCCTAACACTGATTATACTATAATCACAATAAAGTTGAATGTTGTAACTGTGTTCTTGCAAAACTGTATGATATGTGACAGTATATAATCAGATCATTGCAGTCCTAATATGTAGTGTCTTAGTATCTCAAATTAAATAAACCATGTATGAAAGGAAGTGTGGGCGTTGGTTGTACACGCAGCTCAGTCAGTGTGACGTAACTTCCGCTGCGCAAAGGATTGTGGGTCAGAATGGCCAAAGAAGCATGCTGACATGCATACTGCGAAATATGACCGGATGTAGTAGAACATCCTGGTACTTTTGGCATACTGCATCTGACATACTATGTATTGGGACACACTAATTCTTTTTCTGGCATACTAAATAGTATGGTAGTATGGGTATTGGAACGCAGGGGCTGCCTTTTGCCTGGTTAGGTAACAGCTTGGTTGATATCTGGAGAACTCAAAACCCAAGAAAAAAACAATACTCCTGGTACAAGCCTAATGGTACCGCTAAATCTAGAATTGACTACTGGCTTGCTACGGATATGCTGGAGGAATTTATCTCTGAAGCTTTAATCTCCAAAGCTCCTTTAACTGATCACTGTATTACTGAAATAACATTGAATTCGAGTGTTAGGAAAAAGAAAAACAAAGGTTACTGGAAATTTAACTCTAACCTACTAAAACATAAAGACTATTGTTCCAAAATAAAAAAAATGATAACTGAAATTGAAAGTAATAACAGCATAAATAGTTTTTGTAATAAATGGGAATTCGTTAAATTCAAAATTAGAGAATTCTCTCCAGTAAAGAATTAAATAAAAAAAGTAGAGAAGAAGAAAGCAATTTGTTTTGTGAAATCAATCAGTGTTGTGGCAAACCAGATTTGTCTAGTGAAGACAAGGAAAAATTATTGCTTCTACAATCCAAAATTGATGATATTTATATGAAGAGAGCCCAGGGTGCTTTTGTCAGGTCAAGGGCAAAATGGATGGAGGAGGGAGAAAAAAACACATCATACTTCAGCAGGCTGGAGAAAAAAAAGACAGGAAAACAAGGCTATAACTAGTTTGTTGATCAATGGAAGAGAATGCAAGGATAGCAAAATTATGATGAGATGAGCCAGGCCCGTGCAGATTCGATCACTGGTGATCGGCACACAATGCATGCCGGTTAAATTTGTGTCCAACTTCATCCCAACTTGCTCTGACCTATTACAAAAGTGGACGGCAATAAAATCGCGAGAGCAAGGCGGCCGCAGTTTTTAGAGCCAGGCGCTGCAGTTGCTCTCCACCGACTGCACTGCCTGGCTCTCACCTGATCTAACAGCAGATTGGTTTAGAGGTTGACTCAACAATATGAAGTTTTAGACAAACTTTTAATTTTTGTTGGATTTCACATATTTCAATTTCATTTGTCTGATTTGGAGGTTTATTCTGTTAACAGAAAGCATGTTGTGTGACTGATGGTGAAGTTTAGTCGTCAGAGACTGAATACATTTATCAAAAATTATACAGTCTACTGTATATTCACATGAAAGTGTTCTAGTTATTTAAGTATTTAACATCACGAAGACTTGTGGTCAGTGTGATGAGAGGATACTTAAAATAACAGATGTGAAGCCCTGACTATATCTGACTGATCTGTAATGAAAGCTGCTGTCTTGTATAAAATATGAAACTTAGTCAGACAAAATTTATTTAGCCTGTGTAGTTGAGGGGACAGGTCTGCTCTGCAGCAGCAAACTGATAAGATGCTGATTCATATGAAAATTAATGTAAAATGGAGGTTGAACCATGAACATGAATTACAGATCACCTTTAAAGCATTTTAATAAATCAATCTATTGTAACTAAAACAACTGGAGACTGAAAACAAACTGATAGCCTATATGGGTCTGATAAAATTTTAATAAATTAACATCATATGGGACAGGATGTAGCCTAAGTGTTTCTGTGACTTCCTGTACAGACTGAAGGCTGCTGAAAACTGTCGGGAAAGCCGCGGTCAAGTCGGACAGTTTCCTGACAGTTTCCAGCAGCCTTCAGTCTATTTAACAAGCCTAATAATATATATCATTCTGGATCAGGAATATCCAGTCCTGCGTTCCAATACCCATACTACCATACTATTTAGTATGCCAGAAAAAGAATTAGTGTGTCCCAATACATAGTATGTCAGATGCAGTATGCCAAAAGTACCAGGATGTTCTACTACATCCGGTCATATTTCGCAGTATGCATGTCAGCATGCTTCTTTGGCCATTCTGACCCACAATCCTTTGCGCAGCGGAAGTTACGTCACACTGACTGAGCTGTGTGTACAACCAACGCCCACACTTCCTTTCATACATGGTTTATTTAATTTGAGATACTAAGACACTACATATTAGGACTGCAATGATCTGATTATATACTGTCACATATCATACAGTTTTGCAAGAACACAGTTACAACATTCAACTTTATTGTGATTATAGTATAATCAGTGTTAGGGTTCAACTATGACTACAATATAGAAGATTCTACCAGTATAGGCAGTGGGGTAAGTGTGGTATAAATAATGAATGCATATGACTAAATATGAATACACTATGGGCCAGGTATGAGCAGTATAGACTAGTAAATATATAAATAGTAAAAGTCAAATACATATTAAGTAATGTAGTAAGACTGTGCAAGTATGTTACACTACAAATAAAAGTAATGTGAATGTAAGGCTGCTTCACGTGCAGACAGAATATAGTGCCAGCAGCTGCACAGCTGTAAATATATTCAACATCAAACATCTGCCAGCAACAGAGAGCTATGTGTGAAGGGGGTTAATGTGCCTACTGGTAACTAGTTCAGTAGACAGGTCACTAATAATAGGCTTGGGACTGTTTACGTGAACACATCAGTTTATTAGAAACAACAACATATATTACGACATAACAGCAACAGAGCTCTCCGGCACCTCCGACGGTATGCACGACTCTGGCGAGCTCGACGAGAGGAGATTTGCTGCATCTCCGAAGTACAACAAAACAAAATATTCAAATGTGGCGCTACGGACGGCGGCGGAGGTGAGCAAGAGGGTCGGAGTTCAGGGTGGATGTGATGGCGGATGTAGTGTGTCCCAATAGTATGCATACTGCATGCATACTGCATACTACGCTACATACTTTTTAAGGGCAGCTGCAGTACATACTAAAAGTATATAGTAGAAGTATGCGATTTGGAACGCAGGGCGGATTTGGAAATCTGTTTTTGCTATATATAATCAGTTTATCTATTTAACTTCTGTGCCGGTGTTCGTCTGCCACAAACTCATGCGTGATGCCTGTTAGAGCTTTATCGTCCAGTTTATTTACACCTCCAGACTTTTATCTGCATCAGTCACGTGGAATACACATAACTATATGTCTGTGCTAATGGCAAAGATATGTCTTCATAGAACTTTAATTTTTCTTGAAATTGAATAAAGCCAAACAATGTTTGCAGTTCATAGCATAACCTAGTTTTTCAACGGCCGGCTCCCAAATGGCTCTTCATTTAGCATCACTCAGAGCCTTCTATTTTAGCCTAATTTAGCAATTACGAATGGTTTGTGTGTAGCAGGGGCGATTGCTCTAAGACAACAAGGGAGGCTGAACTTCCCCTAAAATTTCATTGAAGAAATGGTCAAATATGCACTATTGAATTTACAATCGATTTAAAATAAGAATTTACATTGCATTAAGCGTGTGCTAGAATGCGTTTAACATCATTACTATGATGTTCAAACGTCAGCTGTTTATCACCAGTTTTCAAACGCGACCTCCCTGTCATACATTCTCATGTCAGGACGGTGGACGTGGAGCCTCCAAGCATTCCTATGAGACAGTCATTGGATAAATGCTACAAAATCGGCACTTCCAGGGAGGCTCAGCTTGAGGTGTGTTTTGCTGTGGTTCTATGGCATGAGTGTGGTTGAAAAACGGCTTCAATTAAATGTTCCTTTTATAAGTTACTGCCTCGCTACAATATGACAAATTTTATGATGTAAACTTAAAGTGAGCTTCCCCTGTTTGAAAGACCAGCAGCTGCCACTGGTGTGTAGGTAAGCAATTTTTCATTCAGTGTTTTCATAAAAGCCTTATTTTTATGCCTTTTATTCAGTACAAAAAAAAAAAAAAAACACAATTTGGCTACTATTAACATTTTAATTAAATGTTTAAATGAATAACTGAACACAGAACCACAGCAAACAAATCAGATGGTGTTTCTTTTTCGGTTTTTCCTCATTTCTTCACTTTTTCCAGACAGGCTTGCATTTATATCCGGTTTCTCTGTAGCTCTGTGTGTGCCTGGCCTGTATCACTACACTGGCTGTCTTTGGAGCATCCTAGTCTGTCCTCACATGTGATTGGCTGCATGGTTTGCCCATCAAAATTAAATCCCGCCCCCTTGAATCCTGAATCTTGAATCTTGCCTCCATGGTTTCTCAGCAGAGCTGAACAGGAGCCACTGGAGATTCGGCTCTCTCCGATGGTAGTTGGCTCTTCTCGTTCGCTTCAAAAGAATCCGCTCCTCGGAGCTGGCTCGTTCGCGAACGACACATCACTAGCATTACCAGACAGGACATCTGCCGTACTACAGGCAATACTCTAGTATTGTTTCAGATGCTTGTATGTGTTTGGTATGTCTAATGTCCTTTTTAATTTGTGGAAACAAGACTGTAATTAACATGTTTACATATATTATAAAATAAAGAAACAATCTATTTTGCTATTTGAATATCTCAAAAGCAGCATTAGGCCTACAACCCATAAAAGTGATTTCAGCCCCTGTCTTGTGACCAACTAAAGTGTGATTTCTTCCGGTATTGTGACATCTCTCTGCCTAATGCTTGTGAGGAGAGTCTGGGTTCCTGGCTGGAGAGCCAGTTGGCGGCATTGGCCAAGTTGTCAGGAAACTACTTGCACCTTTGTAGATGCATCCTCTGCTTTTTGCCCATCTGTCGTGAACTGCTGTGGATTAAAAGTTGGCATTTTATATCCTGTGCTACTTTATCAATTTCCAAACTCTAACTCCCGTGACGAACCTCAAATACCCACTGTATGTAAAATGACACAACATGCATGTATCATCTCAAGTAATTCATAATGTATCCTGTCAAGACTTCTCGGCATGTCTTTAGGTAGTTTTCATGTTTGTACATGCACAACACTGAACTGATTTGCTCAGCAGTTGAGTGATAAGTTTGTGGTTTCTCGATTCAAAGAGTTTCGCTATCCTGCACATGATCTGAATCTTTGTATTTCCTAGGTAACTTTTACACTTTTTATATAGGCACAATTTGTGTATAAATTACTGGACATGGGTTGCATTCTAGTTCTTGAATGAAAAAAATCAATACAAATGTAGTCATGTGAAACAAATTTTTATAAAACTACCAAATGCTTCTGAAAGTGGATTTGTATATCTCAACAGAGCATCAGCATATGATGATGAACACTATGAATCATATTTAAGATTCAAGTGTTTTTCCTCGTCAGTTAAAAACGAAACATTCAAATCCTTTGAGAATCTTCCTTATTTAGTCTCACCAATGTTTGAGAAGGCCAACATTATGTCCTTTGAATGCGCACAACCGACCTGAATCCAATTGGTATACTTCAATTTTTGTTTGTTTGACATTGCAGGCTACTCATTGCCACAGCATATTTCTTATGAAGAACACTGGGGACATGCGTTCTGTCAGTTCTGTCACTCATGTCTCCTGTAAACAGACACATTCCTTTGTGCTATTTGTTGCTGTAATGAACACTTCTTTTGGCAGACTGAATGGAGGTTGAAAAAGTTTAATGACATCAAACCAGAGAAATGCCAGCTATATGCATATGACCAATATCAGTTTTTAAAACATCTATTTAAAAAATGTTTGGCAGAAAACATATCTATCTACAGTACAGTAAAAAAATTCAAAGTATAAAAATATATTACAAATCTGAAGTATTTACAAAGACAGTTTCTCTCTACATGTGTCTAACTGTCTACAGTTACACTTCTGTCAGTTAGTTTTCAGTCTAGTTGTGTTACCTAAAAACAAGCAACCTCTCCCCTGTAAACTCAGCTCCTAATGCAGAAAACACTGATGGCCTCAGATGGCTATGACAAGTAAAGTCATTAAACTCCCAGCAGCATCCAAAGGGAAAAGGAAACAATCTCCTCCTCAGGATTGGGTTAGCAGGAAGTGACAGTGAAGTTTCTCTGGAAGTGGTTAAAAGAACATCCTGTGGGAGAAAAAAATAAATTTTCTTATAAATTATATATGTATGTGTATACAGTACAGGCCAAAAATTTGGACACACCTTCTCATTCAATGCGTTTTCTTTATTTTCATGACTATTTACATTGTAGATTCTCACTGAAGGCATCAAAACTATGAATGAACACATGTGGAGTTATGTACTTAACAAAAAAAGGTGAAATAACTGAAAACATGTTTTATATTCTAGTTTCTTCAAAATAGCCACCCTTTGCTCTGATTACTGCTTTGCACACTCTTGGCATTCTCTCCATGAGCTTCAAGAGGTAGTCACCTGAAATGGTTTCCACTTCACAGGTGTGCCTTATCAGGGTTAATTAGGGGAATTTCTTGCTTTATCAATGGGGTTGGGACCATCAGTTGTGTTGTGCAGAAGTCAGGTTAATACACAGCCGACAGCCCTATTGGACAACTGTTAAAATTCATATTATGGCAAGAACCAATCAGCTAACTAAAGAAAAACGAGTGGCCATCATTACTTTAAGAAATGAAGGTCAGTCAGTCCGGAAAATTGCAAAAACTTTAAATGTGTCCCCAAGTGGAGTCGCAAAAACCATCAAGCGCTACAACAAAACTGGCACACATGAGGACCGACCCAGGAAAGGAAGACCAAGAGTCACCTCTGCTTCTGAGGATAAGTTCATCCGAGTCACCAGCCTCAGAAATGGCAAGTTAACAGCAGCTCAGATCAGAGACCAGATGAATGCCACACAGAGTTCTAGCAGCAGACCCATCTCTAGAACAACTGTTAAGAGGAGACTGCGCCAATCAGGCCTTCATGGTCAAATAGCTGCTAGGAAACCACTGCTAAGGAGAGGCAACAAGCAGAAGAGATTTGTTTGGGCCAAGAAACACAAGGAATGGACATTAGACCAGTGGAAATCTGTGCTTTGGTCTGATGAGTCCAAATTTGAGATCTTTGGTTCCAACCGCCGTGTCTTTGTGAGACGCAGAAAAGGTGAACGGATGGATTCCACATGCCTGGTTCCCACTGTGAAGCATGGAGGAGGAGGTGTGATGGTGTGGGGGTGTTTTGCTGGTGACACTGTTGGGGATTTATTCAAAATTGAAGGCACACTGAACCAGCATGGCTACCACAGCATCCTGCAGCGACATGCCATCCCATCCAGTTTGCGTTTAGTTGGACGATCATTTATTTTTCAACAGGACAATGACCCCAAACACACCTCCAGGCTGTGTAAGGGCTATTTGACCAAGAAGGAGAGTGATGGAGTGCTTCGGCTGATGACCTGGCCTCCACAGTCACCGGACCTGAACCCAATCGAGATGGTTTGGGGTGAGCTGGACCGCAGAGTGAAGGCAAAGGGGCCAACAAGTGCTAAACACCTCTGGGAACTCCTTCAAGACTGTTGGAAAACCATTTCAGGTGACTACCTCTTGAAGCTCATCGAGAGAATGCCAAGAGTGTGCAAAGCAGTAATCAGAGCAAAGGGTGGCTATTTTGAAGAAACTAGAATATAAAACATGTTTTCAGTTATTTCACCTTTTTTTGTTAAGTACATAACTCCACATGTGTTCATTCATAGTTTTGATGCCTTCAGTGAGAATCTACAATGTAAATAGTTATGAAAATAAAGAAAACGCATCGAATGAGAAGGTGTGTCCAAACTTTTGGCCTGTACTGTATATTTATATATATATATACATACATACATGAGAGAGAGAGAGAGAGATATCCACCACTGCATTAGTATTTTATGCTTTAAGACGTCCTCAAGTTTGCCATGTTGTGACCAGTCATACACCTTACAACAATGGTTACACATACAGGACCTGTATGAATCGCAGAAAGCAACTGAACTGGAACTCCTGAAAAGTCCAAATGCTATCCTGATCACTGGACATCAGTGAGTAATAACAATATTATCGGAGTAACTACTCATTTTCAACTGGAACCATGTAATCCTTTAAAAAAACACTATTTCACAGAATAAGCATATTGAAGTTGTCTCCTACCTCTTAGTCATGGTTTTAAGACCACACTGTTGTAGCAGTGCAGCACTGATTTGAAATAAATAAATCTAAAAGTACAGATCATAACATAAATTTCTTTGCATTCATTTGATTCCCATCAAAACACTCTGAAATGCAAAATGGAATTTTAAATGGGATAAAAAATGTGATTAATTGGGATTAAAGGGAAATTTCGGTTTATTTCAACCCGTCTCCTATCGTCCTAAATTTGTTTCAAGTCACTAGTGACAGAAATAATAGTTAGCATGTTAGCCGTTAGCCTAGATACAGCCGTAGCGTCAGACCTGTTAAAACGTAATTGAACAGGCATCCTTTCAAGTGCAAAGTTAGTCCACTAAACAAGCTTTTTTTCCCACAAAGACCGCCTCATATCGTTAGGATAAATGTCAGAGAACATACAGAAAACGACATGTAAACGTGTTGTCTTACCTTACCGGTGTGCTGCCATGTTTGTTGTTTACCATTTAGCTAAGGCTGCAACCGGTCCCATTCCTTGCAACAGAGGTATTCCTCTTCTGTGGGCATTGGGGTACAGCATTCACAGGTAACGTTACACCACCAATCTCCAGAGCTAAAGCCTTCCAGCAGCCATTCCTCCTCTGTCATCCTCTAACGTTACCTGTTGTGCCTCTCTCTCTCTCCTCCTCCGTTCTTCAATTTCACGAAGCTCTTCGTCAGTGTATTCTGGCTCAAATAAATAAGGGCGGCCATCGACTCTCAATGTGGAAAGCCTATATATTAACATTCCACATTTAGGTGGTCTTCAGAGTTGTTGTCTTAACTTACGGTGTGTTTACCATTTACCTCTGCTTCCCAAAGCGCGGCCGAAATATTGCGACAACAAGCAGCGATCTCATACCGTGCCTGAAATCTCGCGAGAACAAGCAGCAGCAGCTGCAAGGCAGAACACCGGACAGTAGCCTGAAAAGTTCATTAATTTATTTTATGAAAGATTTATAGAATAATGGCTGACTTTTTTGCCAGACTTCGACTTTGTGGAGGAGGAATTTGATTTTGCAGAGTTTGATGGCCGCCCTTATTTATTTGAGCCAGAATACACTGACGAAGAGCTTCGTGAAATTGAAGAACGGAGGAGGAGAGAGAGAGAGGCGCAACAGGTAGAGGACGAGAGAGGAGGAATGGCTGCTGCAAGGCTGCGTAGCTCTGGAGATTGGTGGTGTACCTGTGAATGCTGTGCCCCAGTGCCCACAGAAGAGGAATGCCTCTGTTGCAAGGAATGGGACCGGTTGCAGCCTTAGCTAAATGGTAAACAACAAACATGGCAGCACACCGGTAAGGTAAGACAACACGTTTACATGTCGTTTTCTATATGTTCTCTGACATTTATCCTAACGATATGAGGCGGTCTTTGTGGAAAAAAAGCTTGTTTAGTGGACTAACTTTGCACTTGAATGGATGCCCGTTCAATTACGTTTTAACAGGTCTGACGCTACGGCTGTATCTAGGCTAACGGCTAACATGCTAACTATTATTTCTGTCACTAGTCACTTGAAACAAATTTAGGACGATAGGAGACGGGTTGAAATAAACCAAAATTTCCCTTTAACTATTGAACGTTTAAAAAACAAAAACAAAAAAAAAAAAAACGAATTGTTTGACAATCTATATATACATATGCACACACAAAGGTACAGACCTGTAGATGTTGGGGTCCAGGAGTACAGCTGTGTCTGTGGGTAGCTTAGACAGATGAACCACCTTGGTCTTCTGCTGCAGTCTGTCACTCTCATTCACCCACACATCTGGCAGTCTGACACACAGAGAAGAATACAAACATATTTATACTTACTGGCTCTGACCTCACATCTGCACTGTGGATGAAAGTATGAAATGTCTTAATTTCCTCTCACATGTGACATACTAATGTTTATTTTTCAGTGTGAGCAGTAAAAAGCTGCATTTTTTACCAGTGCCTGATCTTGCTTAGGTAGCACCCTATGCAAGCTCTGAAAATAGAGTTGATCTTGAGTTGTGGTGCAATCTAATAAAAGCCAATCCCATGAAGGGTATAGTATTCACAAATTGTCAGCTACTGTTTGTATCCAGTACTGCCAGTTAAAGTGAAAGCCAACCCTGGCTTTGTCCTGCTTGGCCTTTTGCCTCGCTATATTGGCGTTTTTACAGTGTTCTGTCTGTGATTTTCATAGCATCCTCTTGGATGCCTGCTGCTTACTGGGTCAAGGATCCTTCCTTGAGAGGATGGGTCCTCCCAAGGAAGGATCCTGCAGAGGCAAGACAAGAGTCCTCCCAAGCATTCAGTGAACACACATTGGAACAGGCTAACAAGTGTCCCCACATGATCATCATTAACCCTCAGCAGATGGAAGAGGTTTCAGTCACTGTGATCATTTTGGCACTCTGTAATGTTGTTGTACAATTTTAAACAAATGTATCAGTATTGTCAGAATCACAAGACTTTTAGGGAGAATATATTTCTGGATCACATTTAAGAGTAGGTGGAGTAATGGAGTAAAGATACAGCTGAAAAAGTTCTAAATGATCATTAACAGTATGAACACAGACTCACACACAGAATCACTGTTGTTTCAAAGTGATCCACCACACACTCTGCTACAATAATATGAACAGATCTGATCTGATGAGCTGCGCTGCTCTGAAACAACGACTAATCCTCTGAAATAAATTCACCTCCAAACAAAAGAGTGATGCTTTGACCTGCAGGATATTCTAATGTCTTTACTGTGGCCATTCTCACCGCGATTCCCCCCAAAAATACACCTATTGAAACAGACAGAATGAGAGCAGTTAACAAGTCGTTATCATGTGAACAGTTGCGGGGGGGGGGTACTTAGCGCTCCATCTCTGCTGTGAATGATTCATTTAAAACTTTTATGTTTTATCTAAATCATGTTATTTCAAAAAATCTCATTATGTGGCAGTGGACACATTAGAAAGTGTAAATTATGACGTTTCCGTCAATATCTTTTTCACGCTTGGATGATAAAAACTCGTGGAGACATTAATCCAAATAAATGACATAATCTAAATCTCCACTGGCGCAGGTTTCACTGAAGATGCCCCGCCCTCCAGCAAATTGTGTACTGTGCAAAGCATTGTTGGGATTTTATACCCATTGAGGATGCACACATGCATCCTTCGAATTTCTCTGAAAGAAGGACTCAGTCCATCCTGAAACTCGGAAGGATCCTTGACATTTGAACAGTCCTTCTGCGGGGGGACGTAGCATCCTTCGGCCGTTTGAGGATCTTTCCTTGACATTGAGAAACACCTACTATCTGACACCTGGTCCCCACTTTTTTATAAAGCCCTGACTTGGTGCGTCGGTAGTGTAGTGGATAGTGCTGGCGCCCCATGTACAGAGGCATTGCCTCGCTGCAGCGGCCGCAGGTTCGAATCTGGCTCGCGGCCCTTTGTTGCATGTCAGTCCCCACTCTCTCTCTCTGTGTCTCCCCATTTCACCTTCTGTCCTGTCAATAAGGCAAAAAAAGCCAATAAAAATAATCTTTAAAAAGAAAATAAAGCCCTGACCTCACCTGAGCACTGTGCCCAAACAGAGAGCAGAATCTCTGCAGATAAATCCACCACACCATCACACCCTGAGAGTGGGTCAGAGGAACAGAGATTACTTCTGTATGATACACTATTTTTTAGGAAAATCCTGCAAAGCATACCTTTAACCCTTTAAAAGCAGCAGCTTATTGGAACCAGAGAAGAGTCTAGTAAACTTTGTGAAAGCCAAAATGTGCAGTGCCCCAAAATCATTTTGCAACATCTCAAACATGCTTGAAAAGGCATATGATGCAAAACTCCTCCAATGTCTGTATTCAGACAGCTCATTTAGAGAACTAGAATTACTGCCCCATGGTTGTACGCCCCTGCACGCCAGTCAAGTTTCTCTTCAAGTTTACATCCATGTCTGTGAAAACATTGGTGCTTCATACACACCTTCCCCTAGACAGCACAGAAGATCTACACAATCAGCACAGTTTCAAGATGGACACCCAAGATTAGATTCACCAGTTCAGTATCTGGCCAAATGTCTCTCCTTCTGTTCCTGAGATATAGCACTGAATAATGCTTGGAAAAGTGTTTAATGCAAAACATTATGATGTCATAGTGAAGTTGACCTTTGACCTTCCAAATATAAAGTGTCATCAATTCATTATTTATCCTATTAGATAGGGATGTCCCGATCCAGCTTTTTCACTTCTGATCCGATACCGATATTACAGCCTTGAGTTTTGGCCGATACCGATACCGATCCTATCCAAGCGCGTATTATACATATTCACTTATTTTGTTGTCAGTCATGTTAGAAAAGGTTTGATCAAGCGATATTACTCTAACAAGAACAACTACTTAATCGGGTTAGTTAGAATGATCCACAACAGTTGGTATGAGAAACTGACCCGTTTATTGTTAACAGGGTTAAATAAACAAACTTTAAACTTGAAGATTAACATTAAATAAAAAATATAGCTGGTTTGCTTTGGCTGCTTTGGCCCCTTAATAAATAGAAAATAAATCAACACAAGAAATCTTTAAAATGTCTAACACTGAAATTAAAATAGCAGCAAGACTCCACACACTTGTGCTTTGGCTCCCTAATAAATAAAAAATAGATGAACACCACAAGACATTGTTGACATTTAACAAACAATGCAGCCTTTCCTTTTCAGTTATTTTTGTAGTGTCAGTGCCAGCCTGGTGCACAGGCACACAATATTGTACAACTGTTTAAACAAGCAATAGTCCATCCATGGCTCCAGTTTCACTAATTGTGCCCAAAACAATGCCATCAGTGCTCTTTACTTAAACAGTAAGTGTGTAAACCAAATAAAAATATCACTCTCAAAAAACAGAGCAGAAAACAAATAGTCAGTTAACTAAATTGACCTCTACTCTTCCTACCCTCCGCGTGTGTCTGCCGTCTGCATCATAGGTCTGCATGCTTGCCTGGTGGATTGATAGTAAGAGCTGGAGCGGTTCACTGGAATGGACTGCTTGAATTGCGGAGTGCTGGGCTGGCCAGAAAACCTGGATCGGACTCTATGAAAAACTGGATCAGACTTCTTGGATCAGCATTTTTCCATGCAGTCCGATCCCATGCCGATGCATGTTTTTTGCTAATATCGGCGGCCGATATTCGGATCGGGACATCCCTACTGAACAACTGGTAAATGTCTACCAGGAGTACAGATGTCAATATCCATTACATTCTGGTACAGTGTGAGAAGATTTAAATAATTAGTGAAAAGCCTACACCATGGCAGTGGTGCATAGGCTTCAGACAGTACATCTGCAGAATTAGAGACTGCAGATGCAACACATGTAATGCTGCTGTTGTATCATGGCTACACATGTTGAATTGATAAAGTCTGTATATACACATATATATATATATATATATATACATACAGTACAGGCCAAAAGTTTGGACACACCTTCTCATTCGATGCGTTTTCTTTATTTTCATGACTATTTACATTGTAGATTCTCACTGAAGGCATCAAAACTATGAATGAACACGTGGAGTTATGTACTTAACAAAAAAAGGTGAAATAACTGAAAACATGTTTTA